AGGACATGGAAGGAAGTTTTTTTCTTAAAATGGGTCTAAGAATTACCTCCTTAAATATTAGCATGTGTTTAAGGAACACCCTGTATATTACTCATTTTTCAATGCCATTTTATTTAGTTGGTTCTACCAATCAATTTATTTCCCTTTCATAAACTTATTCAACTCTTGGGTAAATAGATAAGATAGATAGGTAGATAAGTTTATTCAGGTAATTACATATTTTAATAATGAAATAACATTGAATAATAAGTGAACAATTTTGAAGGCTGAGCTACCTAAGGAAAGCTTCAGTTGTTGTATTAACCTATAAACAACTAAAACGTTGATTATATATATACACATAACTTGGGAATTTTCTTTGGGTGATCACCAGAACGGAAGTGTACTCTTATAACACAAGTTATTCCAATATTTTTGCCAAATTTTTCTATAATTTTTTTGAGTTTTGATGAGAGTATTGAGATAGTTTCTGTATGTCTTCTGAGTATTTTTTATTCAATCTTTTTTTGAGGTGATCCCTGTATCTGATTTAAAAGCCCCTATTATTAGGTATTACATTTTTAGATGCGTTGATATATTCAGTGATCATATCACTGAATAAATGCAATATCTACGTAAAGCTTCAGTATAGGTCTGTTTTTGTGAATAATTATTCTGATATAAAACTTGAATTGTTCTCCCAGTTACTTAGACGCGGGTTTTAGGTGAAAATGTGGATATGATATTACCTGGGGAACACGGAGAAGTTAACTTGACACTCTTGTGGAAGATGGTTATGGTGTCAGGACAGCAGTTCACAGTGAGAGAAAACAATATTACCGTCGCTACAGGAATTATTACTGAAACTCTACCGAATGTAAATATCACTACCAGCTTAGGAAAACTAGTGTTGTAATTTTTTCAGAAGTATCAAGAAAACGTTGTTAATATATGTGTTTATAATTTTCATTAGCATTATCACCCAAGTTGTTGGAATGACCAGTTGTATCAGCTACAGGTACCCCCACGTATAAAATCCCCAAATGGTTAGCAAAACAGATTGACACCCTATCTGTTCCACGAACCAGTTTGGGAGTCATCACGCAAGAATTCATCCAGAAAATCAAAGATGTAAGGTTGCAAGATGGTGATATTCTCGTGTCTTTTGACATATCTCCGTTATTCCCACGTGTACCCGTTTCCAAAATACCCAAATATCTTAAGAATCTTTTAAAAATGAGTGAACTAAGTAGTGAAGTAGTCAAATAGTATATCTAGTTCACTCAAATTTGCATGGAACAGAATAAAAAATCATGTTGTTTTCCTACTTACATACTTTTATTTCAATGTTCATACTTTTGTTTTTTCTACAAACAATTGTTTTTTTTATTTATGAACTGATGATAGTTACTTCAATGTATACAAGTCACTAGTATTCCTTTAAAAAGTCTGGAGGTTTCCGCCAAAAGTCAATAGATATTCCTATATATTGTGAGAGTATTACTGAAATCTTCATTTCCCAATAATGAATCCACCTTATTGATTTTTTTACTAACTCATCACATTTGTCATTAGATTTTAAAGACTCCGACTTTTTTTAAGTGGGAAAATGACTATTGAGTCTGAGGGAAAAAACTAATGATGAAAAATGAGAATTGAAACTTTCTATGTTTTTATTACCACTTTAATTTGTAACTGACGTTACTGCAGTTTTGTCCTATAAGGACATTTTCAAATTTATAAATGAAAACATAACGTTGGTTACA